TAGTACACCCTCCTCCGATGGACCCCAAAATTTTATAGTCTCATGTTGTTAGTTATAGGACAGGCTTTGCTTTCGATTATATTATATATGTATGTATTTATGTAATATATATATATATATATATATATATATATATATATATATATATATATATATATATATATATATATATATATATATATATATATATATATATATATATAAACAAATTAGATTCCCTACAATGACAAAATCCTTACTATTCCACTGGAGTGGAGGTTAGGGGTGGGACGTATGGGGTAGTGGTGAGAGAGATCTTATAATCTCTGACCAGATATCCCACGCTTTAAGTTCGGCCCTGCAGGGGGCCTCTTGTCTGATAGCATGTCAACAGGGTGCACTTAACGGTCTAATCTTTAACCCCAAGTTTTTTTGTTTTGTTTTTTTTTTAATTTGAATTGTAATTTTTAAACACGTCTTAAAAACATCAGACATTTATTTTATTTTTTTTGGCATTAGGAATATTTTTTATTAATTTTTTTAATACTTACAATTCCAGCAAAATTGACATAATTTGTCGATATCTCGATTTAGGTTTTTGACTATTAAAAAACACCCTTTATATTTCGCTCAAGTAAAGAGGTAAAACGACGAAATCTGTAAAAATGTCATAACAATACTTTCTCTATACTCTGTACACGAGAAAGTAAAAATATATTTGTCTAGTAAACCTTTGGCCCGACATTGTCTATTGTTTATTTATTTTTTTATTCCTTCATTTCCATTTGCTCCGTTTTAAACAGACACTACTGTAAAACGGAATAGAGAGTTTTGGATTCGGCCCAAATATTACAAACCAATTCTGTCATTTCTGCAAAATGTTACATGCCTAAAATAATTGTTCTACTTCAAAGTATATCTTGAAAGGGCAACCACTCTTCTATCCAATTGTACGGGTAGTTCTCTTATTTGTATTCTTGTAAGGGAGATCACTCCTTAGTATTGACGTCTTTGTGATAGGACTTAAAAGTTTAAAGCAACAAAAAATTGATGAATGGATAGATTGGAGTTATCTGCTCTTGATTGTTAATTATCTAATCAGTCTGAATTAGTTTAGGAAATTAAGTTTGCTTTGAGATTAGTTATTACAGATAATCTAACTTGCATTCCATTGCCTAAAGTAATTAGTCTTTTGCGTGTCAAATATTTAACTACAAAAACTAATTATGTACACGGCTTAATTAGTCCAACACTTCGTTTAATTAACTTCATAGTCCATTTTCTCTAGTTTCCAAGTCTAGGTACACTACTTAACATAATCCGCACACTAACTAGTCTAATCCGTTAATCAACTATCTTAATCAATACGTAATCTATCTACTTAATCAACTAATTAATGATAGATAGCTAACCTACCACAAATCCAGGCGCTATTAAACCCAGACAGTCAAATAATTAGTCTCGCACAATACTACCTGAACTACTTTTTAAATTGATCCACCAGTTAACCTAATTAGTAAAATATTGAGCCTAATGCGTGAATCTTCTGGAACCTAGTTCAGAACAAGACAGAATCACGCCCATGGACAAGTACCCACTGAGCACCTCCCCACTGGGCACCACCCCCCCCCCACTGGGCACCACCCCCCCCCCCCCCCCACTGGGCACCACCCCCCCCCCACTGGGCACCACCCCCCCCCCCCCACTGGGCACCTCCACACTGGGCACCTACCCACTGGGCACCTCCCCACTGGGCACCACCCCCCCCCCCCCACTGGGCACCTCCACACTGGGCACCTAGCCACTGGGCACCTACCCACTGGGCACCACCCCACTGGGCACCTACCCACTGAGCACTTCCCCACTGGGCACCTCCCCACTGGGCATCTATCCACTGGGCACCTCCCCACTGGGCATCTATCCACTGGGCACCTACCCACTGGGCACCTATCCACTGGGCATCCCCCCACTGGGCACCTAGCCACTGGGCACCTACCCACTGGGCACTTCCCCACTGGGCACCTCCACACTGAGCACTTCCCCACTGGGCACCTCCCCACTGGGCACCTACCCACTGGGCACCTACCCACTGGGCACCTACCCACTGGGCACCTCCACACTGGGCACCTACCCACTGGGCACCTATCCACTGGGCATCCCCCCCACTGGGCACCTAGCCACTGGGCACCTACCCACTGGGCACCTATCCACTGGGCATCCCCCCCCCCACTGGGCACCTAGCCACTGGGCACCTAGCCACTGGGCACCTCCACACTGGGCACCTACCCACTGGGCAACCCCCCCCCCCCCACTGGACATCTACCCATTGGGCACCTACCCACTGGGCACCTACCCACCTAGTACTGCACAAGACAGAACCACGCCTTCACACAAGTACCCACTGGGCACCTAGCCACAGATCCTATTGTTACCTTGGGATTTTTCCAGCCAGGTACCTGTGTGTTACCTGCAAGTCTGAGATCGCCAGACCCGACATGTCTTATGTGACGTCAGCGTGCCGGGTAGGCAGCAGACAGAGATTGATAAAAATCTGCCAATGGTTGAAAAAAAACGAAGGCACATTTCGATTCTTAAGTGCCAAGATAAATTTCTGAGATCAAACCACTTAACTCTACATAAAGTGGGGACTAAAATTTAGGGACATGTTTTGGTTCACTTTGATCGCCGATAAGGATACTTCAAATATTAGCCTAAACTATACTCTTAAATGTTAGTAAACATAAGCCTAAACTATACTCAACTTTTAAAGTATTGCTATTTTTCCCAGTAATCGAAAATGTCAAAGGCGTAGCGAGCGGGGACGGGGGGTACATATGTCCCCGGCGTGACCCTAGGTACTACTTACTACTTAATCCGCATCACTCCCTGTGGAGTATAGGGCAGTAGTGACCCTAGGTAGGGGGCGTCAAAATGGGTTGAAAAAAATTAAAAGCTCATTTAGCTGCAGTTTTGCATCATAAATATAAAAAATATATGAGGGGAGGGGCGCCAAATTGAAAGTTTGTCCCTGGGGTGGGGCAAATTGAAAGGGCGCCGGGAAAGGTCGCTACGCCTCTGGAATATGTAGGTATCGTTAATCGATAGTTTCAAGTTTATTTTAAAACTATGTTAACCATTATGCGTTTAAGAATGTATTCATGTAAACTATTCTATACTAAATTTAGTACCAAATCTGTTCTCTAAATTATCTTAGCTTAGCTGTTACCTTTATTGATAGTCTCCCGGTATACGATCGCAATACACTCACACTTAAGTACCAAAATATTCCGCTATTTTAGAACCCACCCGACCTACTGTTGTACACTGAAATAGCTCCCCTATCAGCATGTATACGGTAAACCTAAAGCAAGCATGCCGGGGATGGCGGACGTACAGGAGAACGTCCCGGATAGCATGTCATGCATTAGTAGCTGCATGTCACACATGGTAATGGCGGCTAATTTTATGGACTAGATCAACCCGCTGTGTCATGGTTGGTGTGTGAACTAATTGTTTCAGCAAATGTTGACTGGTTGCAATACGTGGTTGGTAAATCCTACAACATCATTCTAGCCCTAGACATTATCGGAGGTTGGGTTCAAAACCTGCAGACTTTATCCTGTATATTTATATATTTTTGTAGCTAACTATAATTACTATAGATTTGTTGATGCATCATAAATATTGAAATCCTAGTTTTTAAATAAATATACAAAGTATGCATACATTGATATATACATATACATATACATATATATATATATATATATATATATATATATATATATATATATATATATATATATATATATATATATATAGGGCCTATATATATATATATGTATGTATATGTATGTATATGTATGTATATGTATGTATATGTATGTATATGTATGTATATGTATGTATGTGTATGTATGTGTGTGTATGTATGTATGTATATGTATGTATATGTATGTATATGTATATATATGTATATATATATATATATATATATATATATATATATATATATATATGTATAAAGAGAGAGAATGTGTTTGTGTTGACAAAATGGGTGTTGTGGTGTGGGGGCCGGTACGGTGCGGGTGCCGTGGTGTGGGGGCCGGTACGGTGCGGGTGCCGTGGTGTGGGGGCCGGTACGGTGCGGGTGACTGCGCGTGTAGACCTGAGTGAGTTGTATAGATGCAACATGATACCACTACTGCTGCTCACCGTGCTATTTTTAGTTCCCCGGCACACACTAGCTAATAAAACAAAATTGATTGGATTCTTTCAATGTGTTGCCGCTCTTGTAAAGAGCACAACGTGTTTGTAATGAGTTTATTATACGTGTTTACAAACAATAGAATCAGAGAAGTTCATAGCTCAGGCTGCTGTTTTATTTACAACTTGTGCCTGCTATTTGTTCCTTGTATGCGCCATACATAACATTTAAGTAAAATAATAAGTTGCTATACTATAAGGTACATACATGTGCTTTTTAAAATTAAATATCAGACCTAACGTTACTATCCATAAGGCACATTACATTTTTATTGACCTAGGCAAATGATAATGGTATCTGGTCAGCACCATGCCCAGTCGTCATGACATTTCCCTGATTAAATTAATTAAGGATCCCCGCCAGAGCTTTCCTGAACATTACTAGATCTACTCGTACGTCCATATATTGTGCCGCACAGTTGGTATTTCTTCTAGACGGCTTCTGTAATCATTGTGACCGTCTAGACGGTTTCTGTAATCATTGCGACCGTCCAGACGGTTTCTGTCAGAGTACCGTCCTGTCACCTTTTAACAGCACCAATCACCGTTAATTAACGTAATTAAACGTGTGTCCCATTCGAACTCTGAGGACTGAGTGATATGACCATAATTTATTTAATTAAAATTTCTGTTCCAGATGGGATAGAATAAGTGATATGGCAATAGTTAATTAATTAGTCTAATTAAGTCATGTTCCAGGTGGACAACAAATGATAGTTAATTAATTAATTAGTCTAATGATAATTATGTTGCAGGTGGACCTTGAAGAATGACAGCAGTGACAATGACAGCCGCGAGACCCGTGTCACACTTCACTAATATCAACCTGTTGAGTTGTGCTATATGTAACAAGCGATATAAGGACCCTAAGGTAGGCAACAGGTGATATAAGGAGAGGTAGGCAACAGGTGATATAAGGCCCCAAAGGTAGGCAACAGGTGATATAAGGCCCCAAAGGTAGGCAACAGGTGATATAAGGCCCCAAAGGTAGGCAACAGGTGATATAAGGCCCCAAAGGTAGGCAACAGGTGATACAAGTACCCAAAGGTTGGCAAGAGGGGATATACAAACATAGAGGTAGGCAACAGGTGATATAAGTACTTGGAGATAGGAATTTTGTAAGATAAAATAGCCTGCATTGACTGATTTATTTAATAAATTTCGAAATATCCGCAAAACGTTGATCCGATAATCATCATAAAATATTTTTTGCGGTCATACATACTAGCAGGGGCGTAGCGAGGGGGGGGGGGCGGACCGCACCGGGTGACACCATTTAGGGGGGTGACACCAAGGTAAAAAATAGCAAAATATATAGAGAAAAACTTGACGGGGGGGGTGCAAATCGAAAGTTTGAGGGGGGTGCAAATCGAAAACTTGAGGGGGGGATGCAAATCGAAAGTTTGAGGGAGTGGATGCAAATCAAAAATTTGTCCCCGGGAAGGGTCGTTACGCCTCTGGGGGGTGACACCATTACGTGCCGCACCGGATGACACCCGACCGCGCTACGCCACTGCATACTAGCAAAGTAGCAATAGCTTCCTAAATCATTATTTTCAGCTACATTCAAAAACACGTAAAATCTTTCAATAATTTACTTCTCAATATTATTTGATCTGACAATGTAGGGTCGGCTAGCCTAGCCATTGTGCTTTTGTATCACTTGAAAGCAAACGTTCAGGTCAACTATAGCCCATTAGCTTCAGTTACTCACCCCTCTGCCACTAACTATCTCTTGCACTGCTCACAATTAGATAAACACCCTCTAACTACCACAAAATTGCGCAACAATCCGAGGTTGGTAATTTCTAACGGTTGTTAAGCTCTCGTTAAACGCTGGGTGTACAAATGTTCACTGATTACTTCCCCTCGTTAAATAGTATGAGTAATGTCCCCTCGGCTGTAACATTTGATGATTATGTTGTTACAGAAGCTCAGTCATGTTACAGGAACAGTTCTTGTTTACCACAGTAACATGCATTAAATATTAACTTGAGTTAAGCTGTTGGTTTTTTTTTAACGGGAAAAAATATGAGAGTGTAAAGAAATTTTCGGCAATACCAAATTTATCTTTTTTAATTGAATTATTTTTATCTTTTATTATATTTTGTATTGCTCGTCTAATAACTAAATGTGTTTGAAAACGTTACATGGACTTTACATTTATAAACTTGAGCTGGTTTTTTTTTGTTTGTTTTTTTGTTATTTATTTTTATTTAATTTTTTTTTAGGGGGGGGGGGGGTTCTTACCGGTAAAACAGCTGTTTATAACTACTTTAAAAATCAATAGATTGTACTTAAGTTTTATAACACTAGGTGTTGATCACTTGTAAGCGTACCTCTGCTCAGGGGCGGAACTACAGTGCCGCCAGACCCCGCAATGCGGGGGGGGCCCACGCCATTTAGGGGCCCAAAGCCGCCCATAATAATTATTTTTATAGTTAAAAATAATAATTTTCTTGCAGTTTTGACTTGATGGTTGTTTTTTAAAAAGAATACTGTAGCTGCGGTTGGTTTATCTTTATTCTATAGACACCATCCCACACTCTTGTATATTCTTTTTCCCTTTGTTTTTAAACCCTAGTGAAAGCCGAGTCATCTTTCTTCTACAATCAAACTTATCAAAGATAAGCAAACGCTGAAACCACTTCCATGACTTATTTCCCTTCTTTAAAAAATCAAACAGGGGTGCTCATAAGCTCCATTTAATAGATTTGTACTAAACAAATTAAAAAGCAATTACCTCTTTTAATTATTTTTTTTATATAGTACTTACTAAACTTACTAAAAAATGACATTGTATAAAAAGGAAATGTATTTAAAATTAATAATTTAAATACAAAAAATAAATAAATAAACATAATACCAGACACCATTACTTATTCAAAGCTTTCATATTTTATAATCTTTTGATTGAGAGGGCTCAGAAGTATTGAACTAAAATTAAAATAAAACTGATTTTCACAAAATACAATAAAGCACTTAGATCTACACACATATTTTGACACGATGTAAATTTGTTTTAATTGAAAAAAAAACTTTTTTTTCACCACTAGAACAGGCCAGCAATGAGTATCATATGTTCGTATTTTGTGTTTATGTATATATATATATATATATATATATATATATATATATATATATATATATATATATATATATATATATATATATATATATATATATATATATATATATATATATATATATATGGGGGGCCCTAAAAAAATTTTTGCGGGGTGGCCCTTTTTTTCTAGTTCCGCCACTGCCTCTGCTTGATATTTACCAGTGTGATACTGACCAATTGACCACGAGGTGGCACCGGCCAACTGAATTTGATATTATTCAACAAAGTCTATGTCCCTGACCCCGTATGTCGGTCACTGACCTCTCTGCTGACATGTTTTGCATGACCCCCATTGTCTCACCTGCCCCTGACCCCTGCGTCTCATGTTCCAATGACTACCATGTCTACCCTGACCCCTGCGTCTCATGTTCCAATGACTACCATGTCTACCCTGACCCCTGCGTCTCATGTTCCAATGACTACCATGTCTACCCTGACCCCTGCCTCATGTTTCGATGACCCCCATGTCTACCCTGACCCCTGTGTATATGACCCCCATGTCTCACCTGTCCCTGACCCCTGTGTATATGACCCCCATGTCTCACCAGTCCCTGACCCCTGTGTATGATGTTTCAATGACCCCATGTCTCACCTGTCCCTGACCCCTGTGTATATGACCCCCATGTCTCACCAGTCCCTGACCCCTGTGTATGATGTTTCAATGACCCCATGTCTCACCAGTCCCTGACCCCTGTGTATGATGTTTCAATGACCCCATGTCTCACCAGTCCCTGACCCCTGTGTATGATGTTTCAATGACCCCATGTCTCACCAGTCCCTGACCCCTGTGTATGATGTTTCAATGACCCCATGTCTCACCAGTCCCTGACCCCTGTGTATGATGTTTCAATGACCCCATGTCTCACCAGTCCCTGACCCCTGTGTATGATGTTTCAATGACCCCATGTCTTACCTGTCCCCTGTGTATGATATGTCCCCCCATTGTCTCACCTGTCCCCTCTTCCCCAGGTGTTACCCTGCCTACACACCTTCTGCGAGCTATGCCTGAGTGATGTCATACCGTCCGAGTCTCTCTCAGTCACGTGTCCTGTCTGCAAACAACAGTCCATCCTCCCGCTGGACGGGGTCTCTGCCCTCCAGACCAACGGTTTCATCCTCAACCTCCTCAAGGTCATCACTAGCCCAGACCTGTGCACGGCTTGCGGTAGGTATTGGGGGGAGAGAGAGAGAGGGGACGACTGGGGGTGTTGTCATCTCCCACACGGCAAACACACATACACACACTGACCACACATCCATATTTTAATTATGGTCGACACGTACAATTTTTTTTTTAAATATTTCATCATTTTTTTACGGGGGGGGGGGGGGGTTGACCTCTTTGATTAACGGTAGTTTTCTTTTCATCTACTTCTAAAGACACATTTGTTGGTTTACAACAGTAATTTTTTTTTACACACATTTATCCACTTTACTTTATGCGTGATGCAAAACATCAAATTTAAATTTATAAAATTTGAAAGTTGAAATAAATAATAAACTGGTAATTTAATGTCCTGTAAAGGGTCGGGGGGGTGGGAGGGAGGGGGGGACAGCGGGAGTTATTAATATACAGTCAAACCTCACCTATCGCGGCTGGTTCTGGTCCCCATAAAACCGCGATAGGTGAAAACCCGCCAGGTAGTGTTTCATTCTCATTTTTTACATCCGTACATTTTTTGTGTATTTATGCTACCTATAAACTTATATGAAACCATATAATTGCATATGTTATTATTGGAACTTTTTATTGGAATAGTTTCAAACATGTAAATAAAATAGTAATAGTATAGATAACATACATAAAATAATGTGTAAATAATGTAAATATGACACGAGTGCGTGTGTGTGTAATATACTTAGATGTAACTAAATTGTACTTCTGCTGGCGTGTGGGCAACTTCCACGCCTCAGTATCTCAATGTTGAACTTTCGATGAATTTTTTTTTTTAAATCCGCGATGTAGCGAAGCCGCGATAGATGAACCGCGAAGTAGCGAGGGATGACTGTAGCGGTTGCTGAGATAGATTTTGAAATGTATTGATAAGAAAACAATGTTTAAAATAGCATGAATGATGAGTTAAACGCGAGTTAAAGCAGACATACTTATTTCCCTCCAACAGATCTAGACTATGTCCATAACAGATTTTCTACTTGAGTGGTTTTAAGTGATTTATTTTTACATGTATTTGAGAGAGCGTGAAGTTGGGGTGGTATTTTTTTTAAGGGAATTACAAAAAAAAAAAGGTTCTCTCTCTCTCTCTCTTTTTTTTTCTTCCCCTCAGACATGTAATTTACGGCGTCAGTTTGTCTTGCCATGTTCGTTTAACTATTTCAGTTTTTATCATCGACTTCTAATAGTTATAAGGACTGATGCAGATTTATATTTGTAATACTTCTTTCTGACATGTAGCCTACTTTCATTCAAGATGGTTTCCATACACATAGATCTAATACGAAACTTCTAATTACACATTTATTTTTAAACCCGAAAATGCAAATGTGTAATTAAATGGTGATGCAGGGAATTCTATTTTTTAATCGGCATGGTGGGTTGAAGGGTTTAGTGTTTATACGCAGAGCTGAAATAAATTTAGGATTAAAGGAACATAATATTATAAATATTATAAGCAGCCAGATTAAATGTTGCTACAATGAGACACATCAAATTATTCTTCCCTTTCAAACATCTATATCTGTAGCAGTCCTCCCACAGTTATTTTTTATATTTTTTTTTAAAACTTAAAATAGTAATAATAATTTATTTTGTAGTTTTATACAGTTTCAAAGACATGGGCATGAATTGTATATATCGTAATTATATGGAGAAAAAAAAACAGCATAAGAACTAGATTAAAATAGGGTGTACAACTTTGTTTCTTTTGACTGCTCAGTATACTGTTGCCCCCCGTCTAAAGCTGTGAAGCCAAATGTTGACATTGTGGCTACCCATGGCAAGAAAGCAGGGGTCGGCAACCTTTTGAGACGGAAGAGCCAAAAGTTACAATCTACAAAATTTCCCAATTTTTAAAGAGCCACTAACATTTGTATGTGCACTACATTAGTGGAAAGCATGGAATCATTGCCACGGGGGTGGCCACAGCACAGTTGTGGGGCTGGGCCTAAAGCCCAGCGGCTGTCAGCTGTCCATATACGCTCTACACCTCAGTGTTTCTTCCAGACCCCCTTCTCCGGTGGGGGGCACTTAATATATTTTCCACCTATTCTCATTGTTTTATTTTTATTTTGTTTAACGTTGTTTTTGTTTTTACAGTATAATATTTTTGAGTTTTGAAAATAAAATATTATAATTATTATGAAACTAAAGGCGCATCTGGACGTCAAAAGAGCCGCAGGTTACCGACCACTGCAATAATGTAAAGGGCAGCTACTTTTTTTTTTTTTTTTTAATTCTTCACAGTTTTACTTAACTATTTTACATCCTTTAATATCTATATGACTGAGTTCTATAAAGAAAGGACAATGTAAAACTGACAATTCTTTCTGTAGTTTTCCAGTACAGCTTTTTAATAGTCTTCGCCTCTTGATACCACCTCCTTGCAGGTGGGTCTCAAAATGATAGTGTGCTCAAACTGAGCGGTATATGAGCCTTTTTGATCACAGAGAGGAGGGTAAGGATCCACAATTCCAGCATCACACAAGTTTTTCAGCGCCATTAAGTATTTGCTTTGGCCCAGCCTATCCAGCCAGCGACGACAGAAAGCCAGGGTCCCAAAGTTCTTGTTGATGACATTCAACAACTGTTTAGATTTGGCAAGCCTGAGCGTAATGAGAGACTTCCATATCATCATGTACATGGCCTTTGCCAGTACTGCCAAAGGTTTCAATAGCATAGACTTCACCTTCCTCCATCCTGGTTGCTTCACCCCCTTTGACAATTGGCACAGTTTTTTCACCATGTATTCTGTACTGACCAATAGAGTGACCATTCAAGTTTCTAATTGGCTTAACTTGATAAGTTTTACCATCAAGCTCCACCTCATATGATTCCATGACTTCCTGTATCTGCTCACCAACATCACACAGCCTCACATCAATACCTGCAGCACGGACACCTGTGTTGGTTGCATCTTTCACGGCCAATAGTAGCTGATCATATTTTGGGTTGAATATCAAAGTAAAGGCACAATCCACAAGATGACCATTTATGTGGGTTCCAAAGTCAATTTTACAAACATCATCATATCCAAGGACAGTTGTATCACCAGCATTAGGTGTGTAGTGGGCAGCACAATGGTTAAGGGAGCAGCCAGTGGGAAAAGCTAGACCAGCTTCCAATCCATTCTCTTTGATTAACTTTCTGGCTGTGCTTTCTAGCTCTTCACAAATATCAAACATGGTCATTCCTGGTTTAATAATTGACTTCATATATTTTCGGGTCTGTCTGTGGGCCTCTGCTGCTAATCTCATATCCTCATACAAATAGCTGTGAGATTTATCCAACATCTTTTTCTCTTCATCGGTCATTCTGTTTTTAGCAGTACGATTATCCTGCTCTGTTGGGTATTCCATGATCTCCCCAACAGGATAGTTTCCTGGGCTAAAAAGCTCTGCTATTGGTATTGATGGAGGCACAGTCTGTTGTTTGTTTGCTCCTCCCCCTACATTGGCCTTCTTCTTTTTATTTCTTTTTTTCTTTTTCTTTCCATCTCCATCATCTGCATCTTCCTCCTGCTCTTCTTTTGCATCAATTTTGACTGAATTTAAATCCTTGACAATAAGTTCAATTTGAGCTGCAGAACCGTTCTCTTCCGAATTTTCATTATTTCCATTACAAACATTGTTTTTCTTCTTTTTGCGTTTCTTTTTCTTTTTTGAATCAACGGTTTCTTGCTGATCAGCTATCAATTCTAGGGGTTCTCCATTAGAAGGAAATTCTTCGGTTTTTGTCTCTTCGATAGGATCAGTTTTCACGACAGCTACACACTTTAAAAACAAACCCTCGAAAACAGTTATCGATTGAAAGTTTAAGAGGTGCATATAATTTCATGTATAACATCAATATCTAAGTTAAACTTGGAATTTTTTAATTATTATTTTTTAACATTGTCTATCTTTTAGTCAGTATGATTTCTAGACACATGTGTTTCATTCAGAAAACGTAAAAACATACCTGTCGATTTATTAATGGCAGGATCACACCTTGCCTTTATTTAATCGCCAGGTGTTTTATGACTTACCTGTAAGTGGCTTTAAAATGCCCTTATCTCCCTTAGATCCTGCTTATCGCCCCTGAATTGTGTGTTCGCAAACAAGAGCTTGTGATGAAGATTAAATGTTAAGTTTAAGTAAATAAAATATATACTTTAAGAATTGGCGTTGGTAACCTGATCTTATTAAAATAACATGTCTTGGCCTGAAAGAATGTGATTTACCTAGTTCCTGAAAATATATGTGAATTACCTGCTTCTTGAAAGGAAATGTGATTTACGTAGTTTCTGAAAATATATGTGAATTACCTCGCTTTTTATTTATTTAAAGCTGCTCAGGTTTCTTTACGAATAAAACTGACTACATTCTCTGTATTAAAATATACTTAAAATCGGATTATTAATTTATATTAGAAAATACTAATTGATTCCTTACCTGCAGGAGGTGCCACTTCCAGACCAACTTCCAGGTGTTTAGACTGCCAGGAATACCTGTGTGACACCTGTAGTGTCAAACACATGAACATGGACAACACAAACAATAACGTGCAGGAACATATCCACGTTCAGGCGGAGAGTTCTGTGGATTTTAATGGCGGCTCCGGCCTTGTGGGGCGTCACCCCCGGGACAGCCCCAGTCCGGCGGGGCGTCAGGGTGAGGACAGACCCAGCCCCGTGGAGCGTCGTGGCGGGGATAGCCCCAGTCAGCATCACCTGGTGCCGTTAGAGACTGGCAGCAAGAGCGTGTCTGGGAGTTTGACCAACGGACATAAGAAGGATGAAGGGGGCGGGGTGGATGTGGAGACGATTGTCTGCCCTAATCATGCTGGGAGTTCGTTGAAATATTACTGCTCGCTGTGTGATACTGCTGTGTGTGAGGCGTGTACACAGGTTGGTTAGTTTTGTGCTCAGGTGGGTTAGTTTTGTACTCAGGTGGGTTAGTTTTGTAGTCAGGTGGGTTAGTTTTGTACTCAGGTGGGTTAGTTTTGTACTCAGGTGGGTTAGTTTTGTACTCAGGTGGGTTAGTTTTGTTCTCTGGTGGGTTAGTTTTGTGCTCAGGTGGGTTAGTTTTGTACTCAGGTGGGTTAGTTTTGTTCTCTGGTGGGTTAGTTTTGTTCTCTGGTGGGTTAGTTTTGTGCTCAGGTGGGTTAGTTTTGTTTTCAGGTGGGTTAGTTTTGTCTTGTATTTAGATGTGCTGGTCATATATTTAAATGTGCTAGTCTTGTACTCAATTGTGCTAGCCTTATACACAGGTGTATAAACCTTGTACCCAGGTGTTCTAGCCTTGTACCCAGGTGTTCTAGCCTTGCACCTAGGTGCTCTAGCATTGTAACCGTGTGCTCTAGCCTTGTACCCAGGTGCTCTAGCCTTGTACCCAGGTGCTCTAGCCTTGTACCCAGGTGTTCAAGCCGCCTTGTACCCAAGTATGATAGCCTTGTACCCGTGTGTTCGCCTTGTACTCTCGAGTAAGCCTAGTTACCAATTAGCTATTATTTATTTCATGGAACATCACGACCCCCTTCACTACCTTTGGCCTACTTTTCCATCAACATTCTTCTCTGGGTGATTTTTGTACTTCGCTGACCTCAAGATTGGTCCATCTTTAGTAAGAAACCGTATCGTTGAGGTCATTTTGTATAGAGAACTTTTGTTATATTGACAGTGCCCTTCGTCGTGTCTATAATGACCGAAGGCCGAATCGTCATTCCATTTCGTAGTTTGCCGAATCGTAAGGTGTCAAATCGGCTGTCCGTTTTTAGATGTCGTCCGTCCGTCTTCCCCCCCCCCCCCCCCAAATTTAATGCTTCCGGTGTCCCGCGCTTCTAAAGTTCAGTCTAGGCATCGTGACACCTTTCATTGGTCGTATTCAATCTGATACGTTTCACCTGTAGACCCATCTCACGGCAGTAAAATTTGTTTTGGTAAGTTGAAGAAAATATGTCTTTATTTGTCAGTTAGTTATTTATTCAAAGGGTTTTTTTTTAAATTGTAACAAACTAACATCAAAATATAGTATATGTGCCTGAGTGATTTAGTTTGTAGAAAAGAAAACGTGGTAATTTGCATTGAATTGTCCCAAACATACATTAGAAAATTAACATTATTAATAACGTAGTTATTAGGCCCATATTATACAGCTACAGCATATAGATTTGTTATACACTGGAGAAATAAAGGCATAACTACTACACTTTAGGCTACTCTGTGTAACTAAAATAAACCCAACAACATTTCAACAAATTGATTAACATCAGTGCCCTCTGTTTCTATTGACAGAAAATGGCGCCAACCAAGAAAAGACTGGAACAGCTGAAGAATGCAAGAGCTGCCAAGTTTATACATGCAAACAAAGTACTAACACAAGCTAAGCAGCTGGCCTGTAGCTTTATATCTTCTTTTTTTTCTTTTGTCTGCATAATTAGGACCTAGTCCAGTTGATTCTACTTTGATGTTTTA